TTGGGCTGCAAGGGGGATGCAGGACATGGTAGGGTTGGTATTGGAGGTGGTGGGGCTGGTGAGGAGGTGTGGGAGGTGTTGGGGGTCTGCACTCAGCAGGACAGGAGCAGCACCAGCCCCGGAAATGCCACCAGGGCAGCAGGGGAGGAGGCTGCCCCCAGCAGCCCGGTGTGTGTCCCCAGGGACGGGCAATGTCCCTTCCTCCTGTCCCCGCGATGGCGCTGGGGAAACTGAGGCCCGGGGCGATGGCGTGAGGTCCGGAGCCACACGACACACTGTCACCGGCTGGGACACCATCTCCCCACCGCTGTCACAAGAGGCTTTGCGACCGGCTGGGTCTTGGGAAAGCCACAGGGAGGCGAGTGACACCTGGTGGAGCCCGTGGTGGCCGACAGATGTGGCATCCTGCTCCTGGAAGGTGGTGGCCAGGCTGGGGGGCAGGGGCTCCCCCTTCCCCTGCTCTGTGCCATCCACGCCTGCTGAAGAAGGAGAAAGGTCCAGCCCTCCGAAGCCAGGGGAGCTCAGAGACGTGGGACACGGGGTGGGGAGGGGGGTTAGGACATCCTGCTGGGACTCTGTACATCCACCAAAGGAGATGCCCAGCCCGAAACCAGGGTATATTTGGGAACGTGGTCCTCTGGGGCAGGTTGCCCTGGGGTTTAGTGCCCTTGGAGCTCAGGTGGGTTTGCAGGGAGGGGGGAAACCCAGCGTCCTTCCCCACATGGGCCCTAGCAATGCCCCTGCTCTCCTCTTCCAGAGGGGACAGTGACAGTGACACCAGAAGAAGGTGACATTGGGGCAAACCCCACAGGTGTTTATTGAGATGGTTATTCAAGGAAACCCTCAGCTGCTCTCCTGGGGACTTTAGCAGGGTGGTGGAAAGACTTCAAAAGGATGGGCCCAGCATATCCATGGTGGTACCAGTGCTGCAGACTGTGATGTCTTCTTCCTCCTCAAAGACCCTCTGGAATGCCACCTGGAGGGACACCAAGGAGCAGCGCTTCTGGCAGCTGCCCACCAAGAAGTAGATGAAGGGATTGATGCTGCTGTTGATGCAGGCAAGCAGGAAAACCACCTGGGTGGGCACGAGGAAGTAGCCAAACTGCTGCAGGAAATTCCAGATGCTGAGGGGAAGAGCGAAGAGGAGGAAGAAGAGGACAGTGAGGGAGATGACGATGTAGAGTCTCTTGGGCTGGGGACCCTGGGAGACACAGAGGACTTTAAAGAAGAGGAGCACATTGGAAACGACCATGGATGGGGCAAAGATGAAGAAGTCGAGGGCGTACATGGAGATGAGAGCCACCTGGCAGGACTCCTGCTCGTGTGCCAGGCACAGAGAAGACACTGCAGCAATAACAGCGATGGAGAGGGCCCAGAGCAGGGCACACACCACCGCTGACAGCCACTGGGGGCGGCTGTTGCTGGAGCAGAGGACGGACACACACCTCTCGATGCTGATGGCTGTGAGGAGATACAGGCCCGTGTTGTAGCAGAAGAGTGAGAGCAGGAAAAGAAGCTGTAGGTACTTGAAGAAGGCAGTAGAGCAGTTGACGTTATCCAACACGTAGAGGAAGGATGAGGTGAGCATGAAGAGGAGGAAGGTGAAGTCAGAGATGGCCAGGTTGAGGATGTAGACGGTGACGGGGTTCCTGCGGATGCGGAAGCCCAGGAGCCAGAGGACAGCCCCGTTGCCCACCAGCCCACAGAGCCCGATGAGCAGAGTGACACAGTCCATGGCCATGTCAGAGACCTCTATCACGCACGGGTCATCTCCCTCGGTGGTCGGTGGGGGTGATGAGGAAGGTGGGGGTGTCTGCTTCAGCTCCATGGGTAGACACTGGCCAGCTGGTGGGATGGCTGTGGGCAGAGTGGGCAGTTAGTGGGTTGGAGAAGCTGGAGCTGAGCCATGAGGCACCTCACCAGCTCCCTGCACTGGGAAGCCACCAGTGGAGGGCACCCACCTTCAGTGGAGGGCACCCACCTTCAGTGGAGGGCACCCACCTTCAGTTGAAGGTATCTACCATCAGTGGACGGCAAGTGGGATGTGTAGGGGAGGAAGCTGGTGGACACTGGGGGGTGGCAGAGGGAGGGAGGGGGAGGTTCACCAGGAGATGCAGGAGGCAAACATTGGGCCACAGGTAGAGGACCTGGGCACAGAGTTTCTGGTGACCAGGAGAGGGTGAGAGGCAGGTGGCTGCTGGCAGTGGATGCTGGAGGGGGGGAAGGTGGGGTAGCCATGAAGAAGGTTCCAGTTACCTGTTAGCTGTGGTGAAGCAGCAGGCAAGGACTGTCCTTCCAGAGGGGCTGGGCCTCGTCAGCGTCCGTCTCTTGGAATCTCACGCTCCCTCTAGATCCACATCCTGAAGTAGATCCTCCCGGGGCAGTTATATGAAGAAGAAAGTCCTCTCAGTCAGCAGAAAGTCCCTGCTCTCCTCCCACCAGCTTCTCTCCCTGGTCTGTCCCTGCAGTGGGAGTGTTGGGGACAGTTTGGGATGGGATGGTGGCTGCGTCAGAGCTTGGCTTCCTTGCTGGTATTTATCCTGCTCTGTTGTTTTTTTTCCCCCACAAAGGAAGTGGCTTTTGCCAGAATTTTGTGAAAGGCCCCTCATGTTGTCCTGATTAGAAACATTCCTTCTTGGATAACACCCCATTCCCTGGCTGCCTTCCCTCTCCTGCCAGGTTTCTGCCCTTCTTCGTTTCTCCTTGGACCTCAGTAGCCTTGGCGTGGCTCCTCCAGATGCAGAGCACCATGCTGGGGGTGCTGGTGGTGCTGGTGATGCTGGTGGTGGTGCTGGTGGTGCTGGTGATGCTGGTGGTGGTGCTGGTGGTGTTGGTGGTGCTGGTGGTGCTGGTGATGCTGGTGGTGGTGCTGGTGGTGCTGGTGATGCTGGTGGTGGTGCTGGTGGTGTTGGTGGTGCTGGTGGAGGTGCTGGTGCTGCTTCGGTGTGTTGGGACGCCCTGTAGAAGGTTTTCTTTACAATAAACTTGCTACACTAACTTCAAAAACCCCAAAGGTCCCCAAGTCCCTCAGGTGGCAGCGCTGCTGCGCGTCACCCTGGCCCTCTTCTTGGTACAGAAGTTTTTGGGATACTTGTTTTCCTTTTGTTGTACTTGTATCTTGTACCCCTTGAATCTCTTCTATCAGCCCCACTATCTGCTGGTGAGATTTGAATAATGAGAAAATTTGAAGACAAAAGCAGAATTGCATTTGGAGAAGTTTCAGGGAGAAGAAAAAACACCTTGGAAGTGTTGGGATGTTGTCGTGCCCCTTCATGGCTATGGAAGCTGGGATGAGTCTCACCTGGACATGGCCCTGGTGCCTCCAGGCTCTGCCTTCCTGGGAGGAGGAGGATGGTTGGTAAAACCCACCCTGCAGCTGCAGAAGATGGATGAAGATGGATGAAGAAATTACAGGGTTGTATTTTCCCTCCACCCCGTGGAAATCCATCTGAACGGAAGTTTTGGGAACACTGGAGCTGTGATGCAGCTCTAACTCAGGCAGGACATTTTTAGCTCATGCCAATATTGCTTCAGCATGGAAAAATAACCCCCAAAAAACACCCTTGGGTCGATTTTTTGCCAGGGTTGAAGGAGAAGCTGGATACAGCACCCTAGGTCCTGCACTAGGTGACTGTTCCCAGTCTGGCACATTGCCCCAGATGGTGGGAGATTCCCAAAGGATTCTGGGCTGGCATAGTCTGCCCCTGGAAGGTGCTGAGGGGGAATTTGGAGCAAGGCAGCCCAAAGGACTTGTTGTTGGAGGGACATGTGGGACAAAGGCAAGGAGAGCTGGAGGTGGCAACAGGAATTCTTGTAAACTTCGTCAGCGTCGTTATTCACTGGGACACTTGGAAGCTCCTCACAAAGATACTCCAGTTTTTCTGGGGTTATTTAGACAATCCTGGATGAAAGGATCACTCTTTGCTATCGATAATGTGTATTTTAGTTCCTACCCACTCTGGATTGCTTACAGTTCTGTTCTGGGTGGATTTTGAGAAGATGTCTCTGCTGGGAAACAAGTCCCTCAGCTCCAATCCTGCCCAGTGGGAGCTGGAGGCAGAGGAATGCTGAGAAATGAAGTTCAGCTCACACATGTTCTTGTGGTTTGGTATTTCATCCAGCTGGCCCTGGATATGGCAGGGATGGTCAAAGACTGACTCCAGCTCCACTTTCTGATCGGGTTTGGTGTTTTCTGAGGATCCTCATGGCTTCAAAGGGGATAAAAAGCAAATCACGAGTCCCAGGGAGAAGGTGATGAAGGTTTTCCATGGTGACCCAGGGAAGGAAGGAAAATCCCCTCATTCCTGGGTGACTCTGGGACATTGGAGAGGGCAAAATTCCAGGTTTAATTAAAAAACTGTCAGTTTGTTTCTTCATATTACCCCTTTATCCCCATTTTTGCCATTGAGAGAAAAAAAATAAACACGTAAAATGATTCCAAGAGGTGCCTTTAGGGACATGGCCATGAGGGAACTTGTCACCTTTGTCCCCACATCTGCTGTCACCACATCAGTGGGTGCTACTGCCTGCCAGCCTGAGGAAGAATCAGAGGTGCTGATGCCACAAGGTGACAGAAGGAACCGGGTGCTCAGTCCAATTGTCATCGTTGTCACTGTGCTGGGTGTTCCAGGGTGTGTCAGGAGCTGCCACCAGGACCCACATGCCCTGGCCCAATGTTCCCCCAGGTGGGTGTCAATTATTATTTAGTGTTATTTATTTATAGCTTTATGTATCTATTATTTGTATCTATTCGCTTTTCATTATTATTGTTATTCATTACTTATAATTCATGGTTCACCATTTATTAATGAATTTACTCTTTCTTCTCTACCATCCATGATTTCTTCTTTGTCCTCTGCAACTTCTGATTGACTGTCCACTATCAGTAGCAGTTATTGTTAACCATTTGTTACTTACTTATCACATTTGCAACTTTTAACACCTAAGAAATATTTCACATTGTTACAAACAATTAGGGAATGCAGCTGAAGAGCTGGTGCTACTCTGCAAACCAGTTGGTGGCTGGAGGAGCTTGAGGGCTTTGGAGATGCTGAAGAGCTGGGGTTGGATGGAGCAGATGAACGCAGTGAGGTTCTCCTTTGGTCCAACTTTGTTATTAATTAAATAAATGTAATTTATGAAGGGATTTATTGAGATGGTGGGATGGAGCATCTGCCCAACAACCAGTGTCAGAGAAGGGAAGGTCCCATGGTCTGTGCCACCCTCAGGATGTGACAGCTGGCTGTGTCACACTGTCCCACTTCCCTCCTACTCTGCAGACGGGGCCATGGAAGTGTCCAGCTCAGCTCTTGCCAGCAGGGAAGCGACCATCAGTGGGTGCTGGGTCCAGCATCTCGTCATTGATGGGGAGCTGGTGGCTCCACAGCAAAGGTTGCACACCCACAGAGCTGGGAGCTGTGACACATCTCGGGGACGTGGCATCTGGGCACAGAGGAGGAAAATGAGACTTTCATGCTCCACACGATGGTGGGTTTGCAAACAGGAAACCTTTGAAGCAACCAGCAGGTGGGTCTGCAACACCAGTCCCATGAGGGTGACTCTTTGGCAAGTGGCTTCCTCTGCTCTCAGCAGTGATGACCAAGCCCTGGCAGTTACCTACCCCCAGCAGAAACCTGGGGCTGTGGTCACAGGGTCCAGCTGGCCTCCAGCTGAGGAAGAGGCAGGGTGCCAGAGCCTGCACAAGAACCTTAAGAGGAACCTTATCATGGAGTCACCTTGTTCCTGGTGGCCAGATCTTGTCTGAGAGGGCTTTGGTGTGGCAGCTTTGTAAAATTTCATGTGTCAGTCTGAGAGAGAAGAGTGGAGTTTGCAGCTGTGGGATACCAAGGCTGGGTGAAGACTCTGCCTTCAACAGACCCCTCCTGCACCTGGTGAGATGGGATTGGGGCTCATCTCCATTCTTTTCCTCCTCTCCTCTCCTCTCCTCTCCTCTCCTCTCCTCTCCTCTCCTCTCCTCTC